GTTTGCAGGGCAGAGGCAGGAGATCAAAGATACGAGCACTCTCTTCAGGAACAAAATCAAAAGGGCCGCACACATAGTATGTACAGATGGAGACAAAAAAAGTACCACAGCAGTGCACACGCCCGAGGAGGTGAGAATGTACTCACAGGTTTGTACCTGGCCTTCCACAAGTTGTGCAGCATGATCGATAACTATTAAAAAAAAACTATGAACAGCAGCGTGCGCTCGATGCACTAAATTGTAGCCTTCCTATAACAGTATGTTTGCAAAATACCTTGCACCAGGTGCCTAGGCTGTCGTGTGCCCATGGATTGCAAAACAACAAACGGATTCAGGGGGGGTGATATACTGCGTCATGGAGGCGGGTGGATGTTTTTTTTCATGTAGCACGTTGTCCCTCAACTCGTTTTGGGGACAGGGCAATACTAATGGAACTCTCCGGGAAGCTACTGGAACTCAAAGCTCTCTGCCGTAGTTCACGCTGCGCTTTGCTGCCTAACGAAGACGTCGGGCTGCATGGCCACTGCTGTACAGCTACTGCTGTGCCCAACTACTGCTGTAAACGGCATCGGCTAGACTAGTCTACACCTAGCGCTGCTGCAGCTGTGTGCATACCTGCAAGTCGACGTTCCCAATCAGATGCGCCTGATGCTTCCCGCATGTCACGGCGGAAGCTGGGTCGTCCTTCCAAGTCACGAGGGGCAGGGAGTGGGGGCAGCCAGCTCCGATCGCCAGGCTCCTTGCTCGCTCCTTGATGAAAGCCCGGACAGTCTCCGGGGATTCGATAGCATGCTTTCGAACGGCAGCAAGCTCCTCGTCATCGCTCACGCTGGGCGGGTCTCCCATCAAGCCCTCGATCTCTTCCCCCACCACCGGGTCGTCAAAGATTGGATCGGGTTCGCCCTCCGGCGCAGCACCGCGTGAGCGTGCGGTCATGGAGCNCTCCGGGGATTCGATAGCATGCTTTCGAACGGCAGCAAGCTCCTCGTTATAGCTCACGCTGGGCGGGTCTCCCATCAAGCCCTCGATCTCTTCCCCCACCACCGGGTCGTCAAAGATCGTATCGGGTTCGCCCTCCGGCGCAGCACCGCGTGAGCGTGCGGTCATGGAGCCGGGTGCCGCCGCGGCGGCGGCGGCGCATCCACTGCTGCTGTATTTTTTGAGTTCATTTGGCCTCCGTCCGCGGAAGTACGGGCCCGCTTCGCATCAGGACTAGTGCCACCCTCCATAGCTCGCACTGGTCTGTGGTGTGGATGCTTTGTTTCGGTCGCTTGGGTTCTACAGCACGTCGTTGGAGCTAGCAAAATGTGTCTGAAGCTATCTCTTCATTTCTACATGTTTCCGCCCATCCCCTGTCCCCTCCCGAATAACGCATTTTTCCGACGGTTTCATGAATAAAAAATGTTACGGTTCAGGGGGCCCTGTTTCCCACTGTAGTCAGTACAGCCTTAAGGCTTTCAAACTTTTTTACCGAACGACACGGCACCGAAGTTAGAGTGGACGGAAGCCGCGAAGGTGGAGGGGGGAGTACCCTGGCATGCGGCGGTGCTGCAGGGAGCTGAGAGGTTCATGACCTCCTGGCACGAGGAGGAAGAAGAGGCCAGCCGACAACGAGCGCTCAAACGAAACCACAAGCCAACAACCAATGGGGCGGGAGGGGGGCAGGAGACGGACGAGCCGGCGAGGGAAGAAAGCAAACGAGAAGAGACGGACCGAGTGGCGCGATACGTGCCGGATTGAATATATTTTAGCCAATTCCCCCCCCCAAACGCTGCACCATTGCACTAACCCCCCAATAGTGATGACGTACCATTACAATGTATCGCTGGTTGGTGGCCATGTTTGCGTGTTTGCTTGATTGTTAGTGGTCTCTCCACCGTGTGCCTTTTCCTGGCTCTTATTTCTTGCTTTTTTCGGCCTGGTCCCTTTTTGTCCTCGCTCTGTTTGTTTCACTTTCTCTTTCCTTACTGTTTCCTTTTATTTTCTTCTCTTTTCCTCTTTTTCTCTTTTTCTCTCTCTTTTTCTGTGCCAGATGGCCTTGTCTCTTCTTGCAGTGTGACGTACCAAGATAAGATTGAACCAAGGGGGTGTACCTCTTTCTCTCCGGCCCGTGATACTGACTCCTGTAGTCTCAGTTGTTACCTCGCATAGCGCGCTAAGGGAGTGGAGGACTCCAGAATATCTGTCGTTGATTTCAATTGACTTACGGACCCCTCGGGGGCTTTATTTGAGTGCCCCTCTTAGGGTTAGCTAGCCTGTGACCACGAGAATCGACCGCGTCGAGTGTTGGATCAGGACGGACATACGAAGGTACTGGGTAGAGAGATATCGGAACGGTTTTTAATGTGAAGACAACAACAAGAACAACTGCTGCACGATTCAATCCTACGCCGCAAACCCCAGATATCCTTTCACGTTCGTGGCGATCGATGGCAAAGAGGCCTGCAGCCTGCACCGGATCCGCCCGTTGCGGGAGGATGGATGGGGTGGTATCTTGCATAGATGCCGTTGATCTTTTGTTTCTCGTCCATATGATGATATGTACGCATATTCTTTGCACACTACGCGTCGGGTGTTGTCGCCTTCGGAGGGTCGCTTGTATTGCCGTATCCTGTATCGGGCTATGCATAGCGCAGGGGCCCGGACTGCGCGGACGTGTTGGTACGCGAATGCGTGCCCTACTGAAACCACTGTTACTCACTGCTAACTTCGGAACTATAATACTGCAGCGAATGACGGACGGTGTTCGGCAGCTAGGAGTGCCTACCGCAGCCAAGAACATACAGCAGTAGCTTCGCACCAAGAGAATTATTTTCATTCATAGAATGAATAGGACCCGTACAGCAGGAGGAATGGTCCAATCAACAGACAGAGAGACAGCAGGGATCAAGGAGATGAAGATGAGACATCCTCCTTCCGTCAGCTGGGGTCGGCACCAAATAAAACAGGCCGCCGCCGCGGCCGATGATGTCATTTTTCAAATCGCCCTGCAACTCTGTGGCAAGACGTGATTATTTTTTCCACACATCTACTGCACACTCCCTAGGAGGCGTCTCACCGGGTCTCCCGCGATCGCCATGCCGCTATTAGTCTTGCAGCGTGGTCGTTGGTTGATATATTTTGCTTTGCGGCTCAGCCGCCTCTCATATACTCCGAAATTTGCTCGAGCTGCTTCTGTCGGGGGGCCACGCAACCTCTCTTAAAGTGCTTCCTAATCCCTGATTTATTGTCCGTGCCCCCCGGACGGGGGGACAATCGTTCGTGTCTTTCCATCAATCGTCTCCCACATAGTACCCAGCCCAGACACAAACAAAGTGTTTTGCCGACGCCGTCGCTGCAGCTGGGTGATGACGATGGAAGTGGTGAGCAGCGGGATGCGCCAGCGCGCGTGAGGGGCACGGCCTTGCTGGCTTAGATGCAAGGGGGCCGCCGCGGGGCGCTCGAAACACATCCCATTCATTCCGAGTTGGTTACCAGTGGCCTCTGCCCGTCTGGTCAGGTCTTTGGCCCTGTGGTCTTTCCTTGGATGCGTTGCTTGCTGCTTCTTCTCGAATTTACTGATCCCCTGCGCATCAGGACAGAGCCACTTGTTTTCAGCACAATCTGCAGGACACCACCCAACATTGGTTGGTACTCGTGCACCCTCCTTGTTCTCAGCCGCCACACCGTCCCTGTGCTTGCCCGCCGCCCCCACCCCCATCATGGCCGCGCATGCTGCTCCCGCCCCGCAGAGCCCAGGGCTGCAAGAGTTCTGCCAGAAAATATTGCAAAGGTGAGCAAAAAAACGCCAGCGTGTATTGGCATACATGGCATACATAGATATAGATAGACAAGAGACAGATGACGGATGACTCTCCTGGTTGGTCATGTGTGTGAAACGCTTGCCCCGCTTCCCGCGGGTGACATAGTTGCTGGATGCAGGTTTGATTCTTTCACGTTCCATGACGTTCGCAGAGAGGGGTTCATGCCGGTCCGATTGGCGCCGGCTCCCCTTCTCTCCGGCGATGGCGTTCTCTTCGCCTCCCCAAGGCACACACAGCCACGGGGACGACGGGTGGCGGAGCAACAAATATATAGAGCCTGCGGTGTTGGTTATGATGTGTTTACTTGTCTCAAATATACATTTGTGCCCACCCGTCTTCCAAATAGAGATAGCGGCTGTGTTCTGTACCCCCACCGCTGACGCATCCATGTACACTCCTTGACGAAAGCACACCGTAGCGAGAGACTCTCGCGCGAAGAACGAAAGTTTTTTCTCCAAGTTGGCTGGCAGCAGCGTGCTTTAAGGAGTGAAACAGCGCGAGGTACGTGGCTGCAACAGCAGGCATCTACTCATCCACAAGCAGTAAATACTCCAGCGAGAGAGCGAAGAAAAAGTCTGTCCAGTACCATACTCCACTTGCACCAAAAGAGAGAATGCGCATGTACTCAAGACTTGCCCTCCACCCCACCACGCACGTTGATTTTCGTTCGTGTTTCATTTGCAGAGCACCGAACGTGCGAGCTGTTCTTATTGGCACAGCGGACGGGACTCCAATCGTCAACGGTGAGCCAGCCAGACGCTGACGTGAAGAGGAAGGTGTGGCAACAACAACCACACCCTTCCCTCCGCAAACAACTATATATCTGACGGCGCTGAGGATGTGATTGTTTCTCGGAAAAAAAAAATTACTTCATGGTTTTGGTTTATCGAGGAAAGGAAGTTGTCGAAAAGAATCACATTGGCTGCTGCTGTGCACCTACACAACGGTTTCTATCCGCATGGCTACATACACAAGGAGGGGGGGGAGGGTACTCATAGTCGTGCATGCCGTAGTCGTTAGACCATTGACCTCGCAACCCTATGAAGCCGGGACGGAGCACGCCGGGTTCTTACCGGACCAGGCTCTCACATCACCAAGCACGAAGCGCCGTGAGATATTGGGCGAGTCGCATGAAGGGTGCGCTGCTTCCTGCTAAGGGTGTTCGGTACCTTGTGCTTACTTCTTCACACACAAGGAGGGGGAGGTTTATGTGTCTGGTACTCATAGCGAGGCACGCGCATATCGGTGGTGGAGTGGGGGGTGAGATTAACGGCTGCGGCAGCACTTCTTGCGAAAGCGTACACAGGTGTCTTCACGGCTTGTTTACCCCCACACAGGGTACATATTCGAAAAATGGTTTTGTGCATACAGCAGCACATGTTCCGCGAGAGAATTGATGTGTGGGTCCGATTTCCCATCGTAGGCATCTGAAGGGTTGGGCGATGACGATGATGTGCTGTCTCGTGTGATGTTTGTTCGTGGCCTTCGTCTTCGTCGTCCATGGCCAAATGTTGTGGACGTCGCAATTTATGCTGATTCCGCGCTTCTAGAGCACCTCGCCCTCTCTGCTTTTTCTCTTGGTTGGTGCTATCCTTGAGAAGCAGCAAGCGTGAAATTGACGCCACCTTGTCGACCTGGGCATCTTTTCAATTGTGCCTCCATTGAAGCAGCTACCACTGCGCTGCAGGGCCAAAGCGTGTGCCATGTGACAGAGAAAGCCGACAATCAGCCGCATTTCGGGCACGTTTGCCTCTCTCGATGTTTCTGTACCCGTGTGCCGTTTGTTTTCGATGGCTTCCTTCGATTGTGGTCGGGGATTAATGACATCTATCGCAGACAGCGCAGCCTCTCTCCTTTGTTTACCGCTTCTGCTGTATCGCGTGCACGGCACTCCCCCACAGCTGCTGCTGTGTGTGCGCCAAACTACTGATGTAGAATAGGCACCAACCATGTATGTGGGTGCCGCAATAGAACACTGGAAAAGGACTCGTCATGCGATCGGTTGGCGGGCTGTGTGGTAGTCTATTAAGGTACGGTTGCGGTCACATAGGGTGGGTGGATGGCTCCGTGCGCCCTACAACCCTGTTGCCTACAAGAACAAAGGGCTCCCTCCACCCATCCGTTCGGGGCGTGCGTTGTGAGTTTCTTCACGGCGCACGTGTTGCGACTACCTCATCACCACTCGGCACTGCTGCTGCTGGTGCGACGCTGCTGCTGTGCTGTGCTACATAGTACTACTCGCTCAATTAGCTGCCTGATGCGGGAGGTCTTCGGGCAGAAGAAAATGTTGAGAGCAATGGGCGC